CACGAAAAGCCGTATTTACAGTTCTATACACTAAGCGTATTTATGCGTATATATTTGATAAAATATACGCAAATTTACGCGTGTTCGTAAAGAACGCGTTTTSGYCGTAAATTTGCGTAAATATTCGTATTTATGCGTTTACAACACAAAATTGTTATTTGATGATTTCAAACCTTCACCTTTGTRTTCTATGAAATTCTGAGTTTGAATATTGTGCTAGAAACAACTTTCTTGTAATTTYATTTTATTTTACGGGAACTTACTYGTTGGCGTAAATTTTASGTGAAGACGCGTATTCATGCGTATRTATTGATAAAATATACGCAAATGYACGCGTGTTCGTAAAGAAAGCATTTTCCCGTAATACCTSCGTAAAGATATTCATATTTTTACGTTTACAAAACAAGTTTTTTGTGACTTCAAACCTTCACTTTTATAATATTTTGAGTTAGATATTGTCATAGAGCTTGTAACCTTGCTTGTTCTATTTTGCGCGGATAAGCACGTTTTGAAGTAGTTTGGCAATAAGATGACTCATTTATGCCGCAAATTTATTTTCTTTGATAAGTTTATATTGTTTTTAACATATCTTTTATTCAAAATGGTTATTACGTATGATACATATATCTCAAGTAGTAAAGGTTCGGTTTAAGGGTACAATGGCAATAATATATTGGCCTTTAGATGCTATGACAAACTTGGAACTGATTCTTGTTACAGGAAGAAATCTGGAAGCTCCAGAAGGAATAAATTCTGTCGAATAAGCTTCTACTGGTTTATAATAGTTCTCTGCTAGTCTTACAGGCYTTTTATACCAGTCTACTACAGCAAAAACATGACTAAAACATTTCTGACCTATAAATACAGTRTGTTGTATGTAATGACTAACAATTCCAGGTCTTTGTTCACCAAGTTCAATGGCTCCACTATCTGCTGTCCAAGACGACATGATTCTTGCTGATCGTAGAGACCKGCAGTCAAGTTTTGATCCAAATCTTTCATTTCCAATGGCTATGTTGCTGAACTGACGGATGGTGTTTGAGAAACAATTGGATGCCATTGAATTGAAAGAATCCCCATACATAAACTTGTATGTAGAATATAAGTTATCAACGTCATCACTGTCTAGTGCCTTCCTTTTGTAAACCTTYGGAAGTTGTACTATTGTTAGAAGTTYTGTCCAGTTAATTTTTTCCGCAACTTGACACATGGATTCTTTAATCAACTTTAAACTGTATTCGGATATCTGGTCAATCTTGTTTTCATGTTGCCTTCTGTCYATCACAGGTTGAAAATAATCACTGAATTCGTCTGAAGTATTGAAGTTTATAAGTGCATTTTCAGCGAGAATTTTCCTCATCAGTTGAACTTCAATTGAGCGATTATTAGTGGAGAAGCTTCCTAGAATCCCATTAAATCGTTCAAAGCTAAAACACCAAAAATTTGTGATTGGTCCATAGKCTAATATGCATYCTTTCAAATGACCATGAAGATGCATGTTTGGTTTAACCTTGTCAGTACCATACAGTGATTCAAACTTCTTGCAAAACTGCATTAATAGGAAATCTGCCTTCTGCAAATCAATGGTACTTATTACAGGTCTGGTCATATATTTACATGCTAGCACAAATGACTGCCAGCAATTTAAGTGTTTTTCCTCAAGAATCCCTTGCAGYACATGCATTGAATATATCAAAGTCCAATTTKTCCATTGGGCTGCAGTATAACAGCCATAATTGGCGGAAATCKTATGAGGTAGTCTTCCTTGTCCACTGCAAACTTCAAAGTCCTTTAACCGTTTTTMAATTTTGCATATGCCATCTTTTGAAATAATTTCTTCTTTCATCCATAATTTAAATACAGCTTTTGCTGTGCCCAAAAAGAGGTTATGCATTGGATCTATAACAGTAAAGGTTATGGCATCAAAATATTCAAGTTCAAGCAGTACACTATAATATATGCCATATKTCTTTGCAAGCCTGTCATGACTTGATTTCGTTTTGGAGGTTAGTAGCTTTTTTGCATTTGYTCTATGAGTTTTTATATCCCTTTGTGGCCACTGTTCTCTTTCAAAACCAGAATAATCCTTTCCGTCCTTTRTACTTCCAGGAAACAGCTTAAAACATTTAGAGCAACCATAATTTGCACTATGTCCTTTGAATCCACACACTTTTCTTGCAGCAGGGATATCACAAGCTACGCAAGCAAGAGCAGCCCTGAAATGTAGTGGATTCGAGCTTAAACTGGAATTCATTAAAACTCCTTTCCACAATGCTTGCATCTCCTGTACAAATGGCTTTAAAAATTCATTCAATGATGCTGGTTCTTTTTGTAGTCCAGGAACCACACCAACAACAATAATGTTTTCCCACTTCATGCGCAAATGGCAAGGCAAATTCATGTTTGTTAAATAAAATACTCCAACTGAATAATCATTTCTGTGTTTCTTTGGCTGAAAGAAGTCAAAGTTTAGCATGAATAAATAGTTTCTTGGATTTTCCAAAAATTTAACTCCATTGACCACTTTGAATTTCTCCCATATTCTGCCATCCATGATGTCGCATAAGAARCCTTTTTCCTGGTGACGATTCCTCCATGCTTCACACAGTCGTGGATAATCCTTTCGTTTAACCATTTCTTCAAGCTTACTTATAACACTGTTATAACAGTACACATGTAGTGGATAAAACTCATGTTTCCCATTTGAGAGAATTACTTTTCTGGAAAGTGCTGCTCCACAAACCCTGGACTGTGGAAATCTTCGGTTTTGACAAATTCTGACAACTCTGTTTCCTTGCCTGTCAAGCTCTGTACATTCTTTGAAKTCATATAACTTTGAACACTTTGAACATACTGCTTTTTTATGAAACGTGTCTCTATCAAATGACAAACATTTCCGGAGCATGTACAGTGAGGATGGAAACATAATTACAAACTGGGAGAGGTATTCAGTGCCACAAAGACTTGATAGAACCTTGAAGAATTGGCAGAGGAACTGCAACATCCACTCTAGTCCAATATCACTTTATCACATCTTGGTTACTGACTGCCAGAGAAGAATAAAATAAACAAACCACTGGACAAGAGCAGTCTTTGTTTTGCGTCTTTGTTTGGTTGACATCAGGCTCAGGGCAAATRTCATCATCAGATGGATGCAGATCTCTGGTAAGTTCTTCAAAACACACATCTTCCCAAACTTCTTCATCATGATCTTCATCTTCAGAGCTGTGACTGTCACTGGTATTATATAACTCATCGTTTGAGGAATTCTAATAAAAAAAAGCTAACGTCTTTAAATTGACAGAGCAGTATAAGCACATGTATTGATTTAAAATCCTGTAATACACTCTAACATATTTCTTACAAACATAAATTAWGTTTCTTATATTTTCATAGTCACAATGTTGCAATTGACATTTGTATAACTGCTAAAAAATACAATAGTAGTTGATAATATAGCATATACAGTTCTGATGGTAGGGTGGTTCTTATTTTTAAATAAAGGTTTCATTTCATAATTAGTGATAATAATTATTACATCCATACACATATTGTCAAACAAATCAAGAGAATGATGCTAAGTTATAACAATAAAGAACAATGAATATGTTTGTCACATTTTTACCTCTTGAGAATCTGAATAACTGTGTATCATTAGTTCTGTTGTACTGCTCATGTAGCCAGCATACTGAGTATCACCTGTTGTAAAAAAGTTAGAGCTATTATTCTGAAAAGGTATTTACCACTATTTTATATATT